GAGTTTAATGTTATTTTAGTCAAATGTTATCTAAAATACATAACCAGACTCTTCATGGTTGATTTATTAAACCCTGAGTATGTTCACTTTGCAGGGGGATTTTCACATAGCTTAGAGAATTTGGGAAAGCTGTGCTGACTTCCAATATCCAATCACATGCAAGCCAAACGTGTTTTTTTCTTTTCGTTTTCCTTGTTTGTGATTGGGTATTTTTTGCAAAGTGATTTTTTTTAGCATATTCATTAAGCTAAGTGAACATTCTCCTCTAAAGTTAAAATTTTCTTGCACAGGGAACATGATTTATTCCATTGCATTAAAGTGACATTAAACCCTCAGATTTTTTTAACATAAAACAATACTGTAATGTGTGCCTTACTGTAATCCATGGTTGTTTCCCTTCTCTTTGCTGCTCTTCCTTTAAATCTGTATCTGTTCTCATGCTGGGCAGAACTTCTGTTTTGTAGCAGACTGCCTTGTCTCAGGAATGGATACATGGTGTCTGTGTATAGGTTTGTATAGGTTTGTAACCTGGGCCAGCACTACAGGAAGAGGCCCTGAGCTGAAAAGGGAAGTTCTCCCAAAGCATGAGAAGACATGAGGATTTAAAAGGAAGAGCAGCAAAGAGAAGGAAAACACTCATGGATTACAGTAAGGCACACATTACAGTATTGGTTTATGTTAAAAAATCTGAGGGTTTAATGTCACTTTAAATAAAGAAAAGAGCAAAATCTAGTAGTGACCAATCACAATCTATTATACAATATTGTGAGCTGATTTCACTGAATTCTGGTTGTTGTGTGTTTGCTCCTCACACTGTCTAGAGAAGAAGTTTAATTTTATTTATGGCATATTGTTATCATTACTAGGAGTGTACTGCTCTTCTATGCACATTCAGAAAGGTAGTGCAATCCTAGATCAGGTCGCAATCCTAAATCATCACTTAACTAACCTCCATGTAACTGCTTGATATGAGTTGCACGTCATCATCAGTGTTTGTACTACTTTACTGAATGAATCCATTAGTAACACTCTCTTTTTATTCTTGGATCTCAATAAAGTTGGGCCCCTGTGTACACCCAAGGGTCTCATCATTGGCTTTTTATAATAAGCTGCCTCGAGAAAGAGTATTTATATTGTAGAAGTGATAATGTAATGCTAGGGCAAAATAACTGTCATTATTAGACCAACATCTAGATATATATACAGTATAATGTTCTACATTGCATGCAAAACAAGAGCTAATTGAAAGAGTATTAGATTGCCATCTGCTGGAGAATGTTTGTACTGCAACTTTTAATGTATTAATTAAAGTGTTGCTGAACCCCAAAACAAAAATGTAATATATTGCAGCTTACTAGCAGAACACGTCCCCAAAGCAGAACACATGTCCCTAAGGCAGAATAGTATCTTCCTTTGGGGATGTGTATTCTGAGAATACACATCCCCAAAGCAGAACACATGTCTCCAAAGCAGAACCCATGTCCCTAAGGCAGAATAGTATCCCAGTTTAGGGACATGTATTCTGCTTCGGTGACATGTATTCTGAGAATACATGTCCTCAAAGCAGAATTTATCTCACCAGGCTGCGTGTCGATCTCACCCGGGCGACATGTG